CAAGGTAGAACTCTGGGATATAAACAAACACGGAATCCATTTTGCTGAGAACCAGAAGTAACTGTACAACCCACATGCACAATGCATACATTCCCCTTTGCTTCCACCGAGATAGCAATGAGATGCGAAACCTATAAAACGTGAGAAAGGCGAAAACATAAGAGGTATATGCATTATGACATTACCACACATGAGTTTGATTGAAAAACCTCTTTATCACTTCATCCAAGAGTTCAGTGAAATTTACCATGCGGAATGTCTAACACACTCCATCACTTCTTCCTTGTGATTCTTGCGAGCTTCCTTCAAGCGCTTTAATTGGTCACTAGAAGTCCGTTCTCTTATCTGCTTATCCGTTTCTTCGAGAAGTGATATTGATTGCGACTGGTGAGACATGTAATATGATGCCTAAGCAAAAGGACAACCTATCAGCCTTTAAAGCATATTCTGCAGAATGTATCATACAAACAGTACAAGATAATCTACACAAGAGAGAAAAACTAAACTTACCTGCTTAAAATTTGGAGCAACAGCAATATGGTATAATAGCAATACGGCATCTAATAGCTCTTCTTCGCTTAGTATAGCCGATGATATTCTACTCTCTTGTACTGCAGTCATCATAAATCTTACTGGACGATAACCAAAGTCGGGGTCAGACTGATTACTTGTGCTAGGTTTGTCCTCTATTTCTTCACTGAAACTTCCAGAACTACATTCTGCAGCGACATGAGAGGATCTCTCAGGAATGGAGCTGCGTTGACCACGGGAACTTTTTGCAGTATTTTTTCCTCGATCCTTCGAGGATTTCGTAAGGTCAGTATCATAGGCTAAGCAACAGCATGGCTTCTGCTCAGTTGCGTGAGTTACTCTATTCTGTTCATCATCCATACAACCTTCTTCCCACCGCATTATTTCTTCATCTTGATCATCTGTGGGGTATGACTTCGATATATGACTAAACAGCCCACCAAGCCTAGTGATATCAGCTCGATGAGGGTCGTTTTTAAGAAACAAACTCAATGGAAACTTCTGCTGACCACCTCTGTGAAGAAAACCAACATTGTGATGGACGGTTTCACTACTCTTCAGCATCGCGAAACCTTCTGACAGAAAATGGAGTATAACCGAGAACAGAGAGACAAGAACTGAATTGCGTGTAACTCCGGGAGGGGACAGATTTCTATCTGCGCCTCTGTTCTTCAATAAAAGGTTCTGTAGGAATCCCCTAAACGCTGAACCAGGAAGCTGCGGAGGCGATACAGGTGGTACGAATTGTATGACCAGGAGACATAGGTCCCTCTGCTTCTCCTCAATCTGAATTCCAATAAGAAGAATTAGTTAATCATGTTCCAGACAACTACATCCAGAGCAGATTTATGCCTGCGTGTTTTTTATAGCAAAATAAAATCAGTCAGAAAGATTCTATCATACCTTGTTAATGGCTTCAGAGAGAGCAGAGATCGTAAATCCCATGCTACTCTCGTGAGATATATCTTCACAGGATCCAGGCCACCAAACAACAGGCATCAATTGCTGTAAGTCATGCTTGTTGGAACTCCTGCATGACAAGAAACCTTCGAACAAAAACTCGAAATGCAACGATCTCCACCACTGTACCATCAATTCTTCCCGTCTTAGCAAATGACAAGCCAGCGAAAGATAGGGATAAGGTCCCGAGTATGGACACTCGGTTAGAACCAGTGTCGCCGTCTTGCAGCCACAAGCAAGAGCGTTTAATACATGCTCAAAGACCGAATGAGATTGTGGGAACTCAAGAAGCACATCAAGAACTTTGTCTAAGCTAGAAGAATCATGTGGCGCTTGAGTTCTGAAAATCTCCAAGAGGAACGAAAGAAATGCACCCCGTCCCAAGTATTCATGCAACAAAGGGTCTTCCTCGAGTATGTAGAAGAGCTCATCACATATGGCACGAGAAACAGGAGAGAAGAGTTCTTCAACAGAGGCAAACCTCCTCAGTCTACATAACGTATCAACCAAGGAGCGGTCCGGTCGATCCAGCAATCTCGAGAAGCATCTTAGTAGCTCTGTCGCAAAAGAACTTCGAGGTGGAGCTTCTTGAAGAGGCTGGAAACCTTCTACAGGGTACTTAAACGGGTAAGCACCAAAATTCAACTCGCATCTCTCACCTTGGGAGAGAGAAACAGCAGGGTAATACCCGAATCCAGGTCCAAGTTTTCGGATACCAGAAAATGCAACCCCGAGAGAGACGCCATTCCTGTAGAAAGATATCTCATCACCGTTCAAATCTATGCAGCAGCCGATGACATCACCAGCCACCCATGATTGCCCATAAGGCTCAGCTTCCTTGTTCCATTTGCTCACCCTTCGACCATCAAAAGCATACGAATCATCAGCATCACCCACACCTTTCTGGTCTGTGAAAGGACAAGAAATGGTTGCCCAACCAATTTGTTGAATCCCCGAGGTCTCTAAAGCGACTTCGTACATCCATTTCCCTTTCCAGATACAAGCATTAGCCCTGGAGCTGCTGAAGAGCGCCAAGCTCTCCAATACAAGAGGCGGCTTTACGATCCTGATATCACCGCATATGCTATACTCTTCGAGACCAACAACGGGAGGTCCAACACCGTGATGAACTACAGAGATTCCATCTCTATGACTAGCTGAAGCATCTACCTCACAGTGAAGCTTGGAGAACTGATTCTTGATTATTGCCCGAATCAAGCTGCTATCTACTTTGCCATCCAGTGGACCGATCGACTTTTCCGGTAGACCAAATATGAACTCGATGGTCCGTTCTAAAGGCCGGTGACCGGAATAATCAAAATGTGGAACAATGCGAGTTTTTGATGAACTTTCCTTGGCATCTTCACCATTCAGTAAAACAGCCAAACCGGAAGAAATCATACTAACCCGTAGGCTGTCTTCAGCCATATGGCATTGAAAGGACTCAAAACGCTCTGACAATACCGCGCAGAGATTCAGAAATGATTCCTAACTCAAAAGCTCTTCAACACAACCAATTACAAAGAAGCGGTCTGAAAATCCAATTTTAACAAGAGCTTGGAAAATGATTCAGGGAAGCTGTGGAGAGAAGAACAAAAGCCAGCATAAGTTTCCTAATCAAACCAAAGTTCCGAAGAAAAATTTCAACTTTCTTCTTTTATCACCTAAAAATGGTGAACGAACAGCGATTTACACAAACTATAACCAAACATAAAGCTATTCAGTTTCAAGGTCTCGAGAACGAAGAACACAAGGAAATTAAAAAAAAAAAACCAATTCCAAACTCACCGGAGAAATTGACATCTAGATACGATTCCAAACGATTAACCCACCAAATCTGCCGCGAAATCAAACTCTGAACCTCGTCCTCAATAAGATGCGAACCAAAGACGGCGGACTCGTGCTAGGGTTTTTTTAATTGCTATTCATGAAAAAGGTGAAGACTTTTCCCTTTTTTCTCCTGGAAGAGAGAGATTCTGCGCCCAAATTTTTGGGGATTAGAGAGAGATGGAAGAAGAGAGAGAGAGAGAGAGAGAGAGAGAGAGAGAGAGAGGAAAGCTAAACAGCGCGGAGGAATCAGAGACCGGAGGCTAACACCGAACGAGCCAATGGATCGTGTGGCCTGTGGGCCTTTGACTGACACGTGTCGGTGTAGATGACGTACGCAACGGTCCGTCTTCTCTATTTTTATTTTTAATTTTTTTGTTGTGTTTCTGTTTCTGATGATCACTGTAATAAATTTTTAAACGAGATGAGAAAAACTCAGAAAAGTCTATGATGCGGACGCTCTTACGTTTATTTGGGCACGTGTCAGATGTAACGTGTTCATAATCAAATAACGCAAAAAAGTAAACACTAATAATATTATTATTTTTTACTAGTAATAAAAAAACACTACACTAATAATAAATCTTGGTTTACTAAACAGAATGCTAATCTAAGGAACATTGCACAACGAAGTCTACATCACTACATGCTATGTCTGGATGAATTCGGTAATATTGAGCATTAATCATCAAAGAAGTGTTGAGAATCATAATTGTCAATTAAGTTTATCTGTTTTTGTTTTAACAAAAAAATATATGTTAGATAGATTTTAGGTTGTTAATATAAGAGTTTTAACTTACTTTTTATAATTACAAGTTGTAGATTTTTTATATATTTTTGGTAAAGATGAGAGGTTTTTCTTAAACCATTTTCACTTCATTTGTCAAGAACATTCGTATGCATTAATGTTTGTAATGTATGTTAACTGTAACTATTCAACTTGTTGTAAAGACGATGAGATTCGACGGAACGGGACGTGACGAGGCCACCGTTGACAAATCATCGGGGGCTTTTGCCAATTTCCGATAGACACACGACCATGTCCACCTGAGAGTATACATTATAATATTTAAATGTTTCTACTCGCTCTTTCGTCACACCACGTGATAAGCAGTAAGGCCACTGTCGGCTACTGCTTAATGAAAAAAAAAAATGTAACGCCCACGAGTTCCACGTTGACTCTGGCTGCTGTCGAGTGTTGTCTCTGTTGTTCAGAAAGTGACCCGAAACGCTTATCATTTACAGATATAATAATGATCAAAACGGTGCGTTTGGAGTGTCATGAAGTAAATGATATCCAAAGTCTTTGCTTAAATATTAGGATTAGGGTTTCGTGACTTTTACTCCCATGATGATTAGGTCTTGGTAAAGCCCTAATCTATACCCTCAAAAATGTCTACCGCCACCTCCTCCAAAGCCGACGAACCGCCGCGACCAAATTAACAATGATCTTCAACAGACATATATAAGAGTCTCTTTCGCTAATAAAGCTAGAGAAAGCTGTTAATTAAGGGTTTAAAGCTAGAAAAAAAAGACAGAAATTTCAATAGCATATTCATAAAACAAGCATTGGTTGCACACGGAACCAATGAGACCACTTATTTTGCCTATCAGTTTATCAACAGCTAAACGAGGTTCGATATGTTCAGAGCTTACTTGTGTTTCAAGGTTCTTAAAAAAAGGCTAGGTTATGTTTTGCAATAGAGAGAAATGTTTAATCACGAAGAGATCAAAGGAGCAGTCACAACCGATCCGGTTGAAATGTAACAAAAGTTTTCAAAAACACAAACAACACAAGCATGATTTGTTCATAAGCTTAAGCCTTTTTGATTCTTATTCAGGATCTTTTAATCATCGCGGAGTGCACAACACACAGCGGCTTTGCGATGGCCTCGGAACAGTTTCATTTCTTTTCCCGCTTTTGTCGACCACAATCTAGCCGTCGCGTCCGATGACGCTGTGCAATTTACAGAATGATATCAATACCATGGTTTAAAAGACTCTTAATGTCTCGCACAAGCTTTCAAGTAGATAGAGAGATTGGTACCTGTGAGAAGAAACTCTCCATCCACTGAGAAGGCGCAGTCCCAGACCCATCTTTGATGTCCTGTTAAACAAGATCGACGATGATGATAGTGTAATGGAGAACGAATACTATTTTACAAAAAAGAAAAACATGGAGACCATACCAGTTAAAACTTTCTCTAGCTTGAAATCCTCACCAACGTTCCATATTTTGACAGTTTTGTCAGATGATGCTGTTGCTAGATACCTGATTATTAACAAATATATAAAAAAAGATTTGAAGAGCCGGAGAAGAAGAAGAAGAAAGAAATGGCTTTAAGAGAGAGACTTGACAAACACATTACCTGTTTCCAGGAGATAGTGCACATTTGAGGATAAGGGTATCATGAGCTTGTAGCTTACAAAGAGGCTCAAACTCACTCGTCATCTGAAACAGATAAGGACTTTAAATAGCATGGACAATTACATCATACTTGTCCTCAAATTATGTATATATATATGTATGTATAAAGAGAAAGATTTGCATATCAGAAAATCAAAGTACTTCTTTTCCAGGTGACATGCCCCATATATAACATATGCCACGGTCATTAGCAGCAACCAGCATTGTCCCATCCAACGACACCGATAACCACCGTATGGCTATATCAGGTTCTGGTACCTATATATATATAGTTTATACACACCCGAGTGATTATCAATGGATATTCTAAGAAATGTAACTATAGTATAAAGAAATGTACCAGTTCATAGCTGCACGAATCCTTTCTCAGATCCCATACACGTATAATGCCATTTTGGTCACCAGATATCAGTTCTTTCTGATAAAATAACAAAGACCAAACAGATATATGTATAAAGTGATGACAAGTGAGGCAAGTATACTAGAAAACTAAAAGCAAGAACAAATGTTTCAACAACGGCACAAAAGTAATGAAAGCTAGATGATAGATTGCATGCCACAACACATATTACTAACAATTGAATTTGGCTATAAAGTTGATGATATGTACCTGATTTGGGTGTAAAACAACTGTGTTAACTGAGGAAACATTTCCATATCCCCTTACGCAATTTCTTTCATAATTGACTGGGGGACTCGGAGGACGAGGGATTTCACTGCATTTCGGTTTTTACGAGTCAACAAAATGTGTTGTTAAAATCATGCAAATCAACTTAAGAATCTCCTTTTTTTGGTGTAAAAACAATTGTGCTAACTGCGGAAACATTTACATACCCACATATGTATGCAAACTCTTGATACTCCTCCATTGGTGGAGTTTCGGGTTCGGGAGGAGGAGGAACCCTGCATTTACGAGTCAACAATGTGTTGTTAAGATCATGCAAAATCAACTTCAGAATCTAATATTTCGTCTCTTTTTTTTTCCAAGAATCCACACACTTTTTTTTTTTGATACCCAAGAAGTGATTCAGACAATGAGTATAATAGTCAAACACCGGTCTCTTAATACGTTTTATAGAATCAACACACTTCTGTTTTTAATACCAAGAATTGATTCATCCCTTTTTAACACTCGACTAATCCTTATATAATGTAATCGTCAAGTAAACCAATCACCAGGGTTTTTAATGCATTTTCAAGAATCTACACACACTTTTGTTTTGATAATCAAAGAGGTGAATCAAGCTTTTTACCATCCCACTAATCCCTATGGTGACAATACGTTTTATTGAATCCACACTTGAATAAATGAATATTATTTAAAGTTTGATGTCCAGCTAAAAAGAATGTTAATTGTTACCTCAGGTCCCAGATCCTAACTGTGCCATCCTCAGATCCTGAATACAACCATTTGCAATCACGTTGGAATCCAACTGCCATGACATTGCTGGAGTGTCCAACGAAGGTCCTCACCTGATGACGCGCACGTACGTTAGGACTCCACGAAGATCATTTTTACAAGATTAAACACCACAATATGAAAAAATATGATATATATTTACAGGTTCACTACTGTAATTGACATCAAAGACTCGTATGTAAGGATTGCAAGCTGCTGCTAGAGTTAGCTTATCTGGGCTTATCTCGAGCCTATTCACATGCTGAGGCTTGTTTTGTTTATGCGCGATCTGCTGAGGCGTATCCTCTTCTGTCCCGAGCTCTTGATAAGGCTGAAGAAACAACAAAGTTTTAGATGAAATGAAAAGTTGAAAATTTCGTCAGCGATCAAAAGGGAAGAGAGAGAGAGAGTGTGAGAGAGAGAGAGAGACCAAAGCAGGAAAGTGAATGGTTCGGTGACAGCGACCGGTTTTGGCCTCCCAGAATCGGATCGTACGGTCATAGCTAGCCGTTGCGAGGATCACGGAAGGCTGACTCATTCTCGAATAGATCGAAACAAATCTGCTAATTTTAATTTTTTTTTCCAAGGATCAACTCAGAAGACTGCGAATCTAGCAAGAATCTTACGAACTAGGGTTTTCCCGATTTGAGAGGAAAACCTATATAGAGAGAGTTTTATGTGGTTGTTAGAAGATTAGAGCTAATCCTTTTATCAGAAAAGTTCTTACCAAACTTTGTTAAGTATGACTTATGTGCTGAAATTCAGACAAAAACATCTTCAATATATTAATTAAAAATCCATAAAAAAGAATATGACAGTTAAATATTACTTGTCATTACAAAATCGAGAAGGCTGATATATTCAACAAAAAAATCTGTGAAAGTTATAGAAAGTCTGAGGAAGTCTTAAGTAACTATTCTTCAAATGCTTTGTTTTTGACTTACTTACCTAACTAAATTTTTTTTCTCATATTTTATAAATATTGACATACTTTGATAAAACATTGGGTCAATGTTTGACTAGTATGTCAAATAAATAACAGAATAGCTAAATAGTTAAATAATAGAATAACATAATTAATAAGATGAAAAACTTGAAATTAAATAATATATCAGAATCAATATGGTTGAATGGTATGTAGTCTTGCACACAAAAAAAGAGAATGATATGTAATTTTTGTCAGGTTTCCACGATTTGAAAATGTAATATCACTAAATATATATCATTCATGATAATAAATACTGAATGATAAAAGTGCTTGTTGTTGTGAATGAAAACGTGATAGTAATTTTTAGTGTTTTAAATTTATTTAGTTTTGAATTTATTTATCTTATCGATTCTGCTAATTTACGATTCAGCTATTCTGCAATTTTTCTATTAAATTAACATATCAGTCCAACCGATTATGTTGTAAAAACTGAAAACTGAATAAATTGAAAATATCAAAAAACTATTGAGCAAAAATAGTATGCAACTTTTCACGTCTTTATGTTTTGAAAACGTGATTCCACTATTTTTTACCATTCGTATTATTCATGATGTTTTTTATGTTTTTAAAACGTGATTGCGCTAGCATGTTAAAAATATAAATAGAGAAAATAAAATGTGATTAATCTATTAAAGGTAGCTTTTTAGCGTTTTACAATGTTTCAGCAAAAAACACTATCCAGTTCAGTTCAGTTCATCTTGCTAATAATTCTTCCATTATCCATTTATTGCTATTAATCTGACATACTAGTCAAACTCAGTATCTATTTGATGAATAACTTTTTGTCTATACTAGTTATAAATTTAAAATATACAAGATAAATTTAAAAAAAAACAATTTGTTAATTTTCATTTTTTATCATACTATACTTAATATTGTGAATGGTATGTATTTGACAAAATTATGTTTTATAACTATATTATGAATGGTATATACTCAGTGAAATCATGTTTTCAAATCGTAAAAACTTGAATAAATTAGATACTATTTAGTTTCTATTGACACATATTTCTGATTATATAATAATTTGCTTCTGAATTTTCTGTAACAACTTTATAAATTCGTTTTGATATCACCGAAACAAAAATAAACTCCAGAAAGTATTCACATAAAATTGCTAGTTTTGGTAAGAAATCTGGTAATGCCTCTGGATTTAACACCATAAATTAAGGTCAGCTGCATTGAATTTGTTACAAAACGTAAACAGAAGCAATTTTTTAAAAAACAAATCTGGTCATGGTCCATATCAGACCATTCAATCCTTGTGGACGGGGACATGTTTCAGCTACTACCTAAGAAAACCCATTGTGCCATCCTGTAGTTCCAAAATCCAGTCTACACGGTTTGTTTCTTCGTCTTCCCAAGAACCATCAATAGCTTCTGTTTCACTTCAAACATGGCCCGTTTGTACCAAGCATAGAAACTCATCTTCTCAAACGAGAGCAAATCCTATCTCTATTCACCTTCATTAATTACCACACCATGCACACATACCTTTATCTATTCCATACGACACAAACAATTAACGCATAACCTTATAGTCATATGAGACTACATGATCACACCTTCATTATTACTCAATAGATGCATACCTTTACCTAATCCGTACGACCAAAACAATGCATAATCATATAGTCACCAGGGACTGAGAGCACGCGATCAGACCACTCAACATTCCCTGTAATCTCTACTCCATTTCTATCCAATGCGATCATTGCACACCAAACCTCCCTTTTTTTATCTTCTTCCAAAGAACAAGGGTTCTGCAAAATCACCAACTTTCCACTGTATTCTCCCATTCTGATATTAAAGGCAGAATATTCGTCGAGCTTCAAACCTTTAACTAATTTTCAATACTTCTCCTTAGAGTCATACCACATTAACCCAACATAAGAGCAATATATGTATAGCATATTGTCTATCACACACACGTCGTAACCGAACAAATGATCATTTGGTATATCAATCTTCTCACAGTTACCATCTCTCGGATCATAAACTATGACTTGTGCAGATTTCCTCACATAAACCTTTTTGTCTAGTGACGGGCTCACCACCGACATCCATAGACATGACCATTCCACATTGAAAACTGGCGCGACTTCCGCGACTTCCCAAGTTTGCGTCTTTGTGTCAAACACGTCCGCTTTGATCTCTTCATCTTCCTCTTCGTACCTTCCAAAAGCGTAGATTTTCTCATCAACTAGTCCCACAGCTGTGAAACCACGAGCCACTCACATAGTCGGACCCTGACTCCGTTTTCCAGATCGGGAATCGAGGATCCACATGTCCCTGGAAGGGTGATTGTAATAACCCCCGAGGAAGTAGATCTCTGGACCTACCATGATAGCAACAGAGTATGGCTTAAGCTGAGAAGGGAACCGGATCGAGACCAAAAGACGATTCTCAGTTAGAGTGAACCAATGATAGTTTAAGGAGGAACCATGACGTTCTTTAAAGCAGATGTAGAAGCAATCTTTTCTCTGAAGGGATCATGTCTTGCGGAGCTCGGAGGAACGTACAAGAGATCTGAAGTTCTTGGAGACGCAAGAGAGAATTGGGTGAAAGCGTCTAGGGACACAGGCTAAGACGTTTAAAACGATGTCGTTTGGTAACGAGGAAAAAGACGACGACGACGGTGGTGACTGTGGATGCTCATTGTTTGTTCGTGGTGGCTCGTTAGTGCTGGAAGCGGCGGCAGTTGACATCGTCTTGGGATTTTTAGGGTTACTTTTTTTTTCTATTGGTTTTGAGCCTTTTGGCTTTGTGGTCACGGGCCCTAATCATGATATTTATACATAAAAAAACCATTATCAAATAAAATAAAATAAAATAGAGGAAAGTGGATTTTGTTCAACAAAACTTAATAAATTAACAAATAGATCCAACGACGGATATTCTCAAGTTTTATGCGGTTCTGCATATGTATTCAAAACCATTACAGAGTAGATACGTGAAACACAAGTTAGCTCCGCACATATCAAACCATCTATTGTAACTAGTCTCAGGTTGATGGAAATTAACTACTGGCATCAGAGTTGATCATTAACAGAACATAGCATAGTCCAATTCAAAAAAAAAAGTAGATAAAAAAACAGATCATAGTTCCAATTCAAGTGTTTTGCAAACCACTGAGTTGAGAGAATCTACAAATCTGTCAAATTAGTAAGTAAACACATCATATTCATTATCTTCGTTGATCAATATACAGATCACATTATGCAAACAAAGCTCATATTCATGTACAACTATAATGATGACTTACAAAGTATCGTTAGGCTCCAACAAATCTCATTCTCTTTCAGTCCAAAACAGAGAGACAACACTCCATTCTATAGCCAAGAGGGACACTCCCCAGAAGTTTAGCCGTTTCAGCAGTCCCATGGATCCCTACTTCACTCCTGCCCAAAGCAATCATTCTACACCAAATCTCCTTCCTTTCACCACTAACACCTCTCGTTTCCTCCCATAGAACCGCCATCTTTCCATAGTATTCCGCCATTCCAACGCATCGAACCTTGTTGAGATGACTCAGTCCCTCGACCACTTTCCACAGCATCAGCTCAGAGTCAAACCACATCAGCCCGAACCTTGCGTAGTAAACGTAGAGCACGTTCTCCGCCACGCACACGCCCGCTTCGCACAAGTCATCGTCCTTTGGCAACACAAAGCTCCCACAAGAACCGTCTATGGTGTCGTAGTGAACAGCGATTTGTTCATGCGACAGTAACGCATAAACCTTCTTGTCCAACGACACAAGAGATTTCGAACGATCCCACCACCAGTTTTCCTCAGGATCTGGCACTTGTTCCCAAGTTTGCGTCTTTAGGTCAAATGATTCCTCCTGAATCTCGTCGCCTCTAAAGCCTCCGATCACGAATATCTTGCCGCCGACTAAACCCGCGGTATTGCTCAATCAATCCTCCAGCATGCTAGGTCCTCGGTGAAGTTTACCAGATCGGGTATCAAAGATCAGCAACCTTGACGAGGGTGTGTATGCTCCGCAGATAAAGAAAATCTCCAGACCAATCGCGATCGCCGAAGGGTTGGGATCGTAATCGTAAGGAAACACGAGATTGGTGGCGACGGCGAACTGATTCTCTGTTGGGTTGTTCTCGATCCTGCGGAGGGTGAACCAGTATCAGCGGAGATAGAACCAATTTAGGGTGTTCCTGCGAGTGTTTTTGTCCCTGAAGCAGATGTATAGCGATCTTTGCCAAGGAGAGACCCAATCCGGTGAATCTCCGGCGAACGAACAAGGTAACAGAACTTCTTGGAGACGCAACAGAGGATTGGGTGATAGCGTTTCGGGACGCGGGCTAAGATGTTCCAGACGATGTCGACCGGCGGTGAAAACAATGACGGCGACGGAGGTTGGTTGAATGCTCGAGGCGGCGGTGGATCATCGGGGTTAGAGGCGGCGAGTGAAGGCATCATCGAGATTAGTTAGTTATGAACAATTTGACTCTAATTTAGTAAAAGCCGAAACGATGAGACTAGAAGTGTTTCAAAATATAATTTATTAAAAAGTTTAGTTATAATTTATATTATATATTTTTTAATGAACAGTGATAATATTTTTTTGGCTTTGATTTCTAGTCATTCTATTATTTTAATATTATGATACAACCTCTTTTGACTGTAGTTTATAAATATGTTATAATTAAAGAAATATATTATTACATATTTTGACTATAATAAAAAAGAGCACTCATCAAATATTACATATTTTATTATTGAATAAGAAACTTAAATTTTTAATGATAATTTATTATATATGCATTTTTCCTAAAAAATATGCGTATTTGAATAAATATATAATACATCTATATAAATTTGGTCTATTATAACTATGTATGTGAATCACCAGAAAATGTAAATTGTTTTATGCATTTATAAAGTAAATATAAATTTAATTAGTATGTAATTAAAAGATAAATAATTAATTAATCTAATTCTCATTGCATTAAAATAATAAACTATTAATTATAGGGATTCTTGCAAAAATGACCTAAAATTTGATTTGAATTGCAAATCTAACCCACAAAAATCACATTCCCAACATTTGCCATTGTGTGTCCAAACAATCCTTCATAATTTCAGTTATTCACGAAATTGCCATTATTTTTAATTAATTTCTTTTTTTTTAGAAATCTAAATGACCAACTAATCCTCATCTTCCTCATTTATTTACGAAAATGCTCAGAAAGTAGACTTCTCTCGGTCCGAATGAAGTCTACTAGTCAACGCCCAGGTTAGTTTTGCAATTGACCACATGAAAAAGTAGACTTCTTTTGGTCCGAATGAAGTCTACTCCATTTCCTTTGATAACAAAAAAATAGAATAGACTTCTCGAGTAGACTTCTTTAGAAGCAGGTCATTTTTGCAATTGACCAACCTTTGACTTTGTAGAGTAGACTTCTCCGAGAAGTCTACTTTAAGTAGACTTCTCGCAGGTCATTTTTGCAATTGACCAAAAAACCAAATATTTTTCAATTGCAAAAATGACCTGCGAGAAGACTACTTACGAAAGTAGACTTCTCGGAGAAGTCTACTTTTCATAGAGAAGTCTGCTAATATTTTGGCAATTGCAAAACTAACCTACGAGAAGTCTACTTTTATCCGAGAAGTCTACTTTTCTTGTTTTAAAAAAAAAATCATTTTTATACAATATATCACGAATTTTTAAGATTTTCGTGATCCTAAGCTTCTGTTATTAAGTTTTCTTGCTTATGTATAAGTTTTGCATGTTTATATTTTATAGGTATAGTCGAATGAGTTTTCATGTTTTATATGATACTTAGCTTATTAAGAGTAGACTAAGTCTACTCTAGAAGTCTACTATGTAGACTTCATCCGACTTTCAGAGAAGTCTACTTATGCAATTTTGATGTCTAATGTTGTTTGGATTTTGTTCTTTTTTCACAGAGAATGGCTCACATACCCGATGTTTATGGAGAATGGGTTAAGAGTGAATCAGTGTGGCAGTTCGAGGTGGATAATAGCAAAGGAGGGCGAATGTTGTTCTTAAGAGATGGTTGCACACATGGTGAGCTTCTTGGTGAATGTTGGCAAAGGAGGGCGAATAGCAAAGGAGGGCGAATGTTGTCACCTTTAAGTTATGTAAAATTAATATCTTTAAGAAGTCTACTCAAGACAATGAGAAATCTACTTCAGAAGTCTACTCGAGACAAGAGAAGTCTACTCGGTTGACAAGTTATATGATATAAATGAGAGGAATGTCCCTCTGAATCACTTTTAAGTTATGTGAAATTAATGTCTTTTAGAAGTCAACTCGAGACATGAGAAGTCTACTCGAGACAGGAGAAGTCTACTCGAGACAAGAGAAGTCTACTCGGTTGACAAGTTATATGATATAAATGGGAGAAATGTCCCTCTGAATCAGTTATAAGTTATGTAAAGTTAATGTCTTTAAGAAGTCTACTCGAGACAGGAGAAGTCTATTTTGTAGAATAGATAAACATAGATAATTTAGGAATTTGATACAAAACATTCAATGCAATTCAACATTACACAGAAAATAACCCTCTAAACAAACAAACATTTAAGGATCACTAGTTATAAATCTTAAAACTGGCATAAGAAATTACTAGTAAACTAAAATCTCTGAAAATTATGTATGCAACTGAAGTCTGCTCGAGATCGAGAAGTCTGCACGAGATCGAGAAGTCTACTCGAAAAGTCTACATTCAGATCTACAAAAAAAATCAACAAAATTCAGCTCTGTAACAATAACAAAAAATTTAGATCTAGAACAAAATCTATAAAATTTATACAACAATAAACTCAGATCTACAAATATAAACTTAGATCTACAATAATAAGCTCAAATCTAAACTAATAAGCTTGGATCTATAATAATAATCTACTATATTTATAACATTCAGATCTGTACACAAATCAACAAAATTCAGCTCTGCAATAATAACAAAAAATTAATAAAATCTACAAAATTTATACAACAATAAACTCAGATCTACAAAAATAAACTTAGATCTAGAAAAATAAGCTCAAATCTATAATAATAAGCTCAGATTTGCAATATGAACACAAAGCAAACAAAAAGAGGAACACAAAAGCTCAGATTTTCTTACCACTACCATAACCTGCAAGTGAGAGGAGGTTGAATGCAAGATAGAGAGGATGGAGAGGATATTGATAGCAAGAGAGGGAGGAGAAGAAATTCATGGCCAGAGAGAAGGGAGAAGAGAGAGAGGCGTTTTTTAGATAAAAAGAGACTTTATTGTTATTACAATTAGGTTAAACTCTCCTTATATATGGCCAAGAAGTCTACTCGAGAAACCGAGAAGTCTACTCGAGAAGTTTCTTAGTATTGATTTTTATCCTAATTTATCTATGATGATTTAAATTGATTATTTTCTGTCAAATTTTATTTTTAATAGATGTAAAAAAGTATATATTTATTGTTATGTATCTAATTTCTTTTATCAAATTATCTTTTATGATTTTTAAAATTAATTGTAAACATATTATTAAAGAGTAGACTTTTTGGAGAAGTCTACTCGAGAATTCTACTTAACTTCTCGAGTAGACTTCTCTGGGATAAAATAATAATTGAGGTTGGCATTTTTTTGTTTGGTCATAAGGGTTAAAGTTATAATTTCACTACTCCTGTGAGTTATTTTTGTCAAACATGCAATAGGGGGTCTAGTTTTGCATTTCAACTCAAGTTTTGAGTCATATTCAGCAATTCTCCCTTAATTATAAAATTTAAAATGACAGGTGTCATTCTCTCCAATGCTGACGTGGCACTAAAGTGGAGAGAGTTGACCATCTTTTATATTATAAACTAGAGGAAAACAACAACCATAGAGTTTAAGTAAACAAAGAGCAATTGTTGCTACAGTTAGCTAACACCATCATTGTGAGTTTAAATATTTCAAAGCCTATTTCTATAATTTTAAACTCAGATATGATACACTTGATTTTGTCGTTGAGAAGTTTATCAGGTATAGACATAATCCAAAATGCTGAAAGAGGAGACAACCTCAAAGAGAAGCCCCGTACCAAATACTGCATCACTTTACAGATTTGGGAAGCAAGAAAACTAAGAGTGTTCCTCAGGTAAGTCATTCATTTGCTAAAATTATTTCTGAAGATTCAAAAGTAATGAACTTACTAGAATTGAGAAAAAGTGAGAACTCAGTACCTTGTTTAAAATTGCTGATAGGGTCAATGTTTTACCCAAATAAAACTACTGCAAGTGCACAGCAAAAGCAGATGTAGTATAAGGGGTATCGAAATCCCAAGAGAGTAATGCAAACTACACTATCGAGTATAGTTTCGGACTAAGCTAAGCAAAATATGATGTATGTAATGCGAATGGATCAATAAAAGTAAGCAAACGAATGTGTGAAGTTATCTAAGTTCAAGAAGATTAAAAGCGCTAAGCCAGGATAATTCGCAGGTTTGAATCCAAGAATGTATGATGCAGGAAATCAGGAATGATTAAGAACCGTTTTAAACATGAATCTCTAATGCATAACTAATCAATTCTCATTGCAAAAGTTATCTATACCTAGATCACAGAGTTTCAAATCTCTTTGTAAACCCTAACAACCTAAGCATGCAGTAATGATCAGGTTCAATTGTTTACAAAACTCCTAAGCCAAATCTCTTTGTACTAAGTTGTTTTGCTCATCAAATACTAGTTCAGATTATGAATAATGCTCTCACATATATTTAACAACCTATGATTTTCGGATTCCTAGATGATGTGTCTCAGAAATTCGATTTTAAAGCAAGTAGAGATGAAAAACCATGAGATATTCCTAACAGATAGCGATTCTACACTCTTTTCATCAACCTTTGAAAAACCCTAACTTAACTAGCAGATTACTCAGACATGATTATGAGATCACAAAGCATAACTGAATAAAATTGCATTAAGAGAAAGAGTAAGAAACAAAAGGGGTTCGAAATCTTCTCAAAAGAGTACAGGATTTGTCTCCCCAAAAAGCTCAGAATAAATCTCTCTCTAGCTCTCTGAATTCTTAAAAACTTAGATAATAGCCAACAATGGCTGAAAAACCTAATAAATAGAAGCTAAACACGACCTGGGGTCTTTATGTAAATAAA